AGATACATACATACATACAAATATATTTATTCTGCTCCTATCGAGCAGGTCTCGCGTGAAGGATGAGGTAAAACGGCCTTTCTTCCCCCAGGCGGATGTCCCACTCCAGCCTTCCYTTCCTCTTCCGAGCATCTCCATGAGCTCCAATAACACTAAGCGCAGCGTTTTCCTTTCGGCATCCCTAAGGTTTGTAGCTATATCCAGCCGCCACGCGCTGAGGCAGTGCAAGGCATGAGCCGTCACACAGAGCGCGCAGTTTTACCCCTGGATTTTCCAAGGAAACCCCCGCCATCCACCTCCTCCGCGGTGGGATGTGAGCAGGGGTCCTCTGAAAGGGTAATTGTATATAAAGTATTTTTAAAGTGCAAGTAATCCGTGGCGTTGCCCCTTGGTACATCACCTGCTTGGGAAGGGCTCGGATCCGTCCATCCCCATGCCTGGATCCATCCATCCCCATTCCTGCATCACCCCCACGACCTATCGCTGGATTTTTAGAGCGTCTTAGACCTGGATTTTCTCCGAAACGGAGCCCAAACGCTGCATTTTAATCTTGCTCGTGATTTATATGTTGTCCAGGGGCTTGATAGAAAGGAAGTCAAGCAGCTCAGTTGGGAATCCGCTTTTTAGGAGCAGTTATAAAGCATATTTAATTTTACTCAAAATTAGGATTTTCCCAAGGTAGCCCACAAGTAGTTTGGGTTGGCTTTTTTTTTTTTTTTTTCTGGATTAATAAAATCTACATTAAAACATTAAAAACAAGACTTTAAGGTGTTTAGAAATCACTCCAGTACTTCAGCAACATTGCAGGTTTCCCCGTTTTCCTCCTTCAGGCTTCTAAAGCATTTCCAAGGAAAAAACCCACCATATTTAATCAAAGAATAAATACGCGTCAACATCTAAAAACACCTATTGATTTACAGAAGGCCTCCCTTTTACTGCAGYTCCTCTAGTCTCCCTTGTTAAATAAAATTATATTTTTTAGGCATTTTACTTTTATTCTGCATGCCAATTTCCCTTCAATGCTGCGTAAAGCAAACGGGATACAACCAGGGATGCCGGCAGCTTCTGCTGTTAATTTGAGGCTTATGCTAGCGTTTGTAATCACCTCTCAGGAACAGAAAAAGAGGGGAAAAGGGATAATCCCTCATTCGCCTGCCTGCGTTTCAGGCACTAGGAAAACACTATGGGAGTTTGAATTATTGATGCTGCCGGAAAATATTTAGGATCTTTTTGGCTTTATTTTTTTTTTTTTAATTGTTGTTTCTCCCACTCTCAAAAGCCGGCCATCTGTTTTGCCGCAGTCCATCCATCCTTCCATCCCACAGCCCGGGATAACGGCACCCGCCCTGCTGGAAAGCACGCAGCTCCTTTTCACCCCACAGGAGCCGTTTGGGTTTTGGGGGGCGGCAGGGCCGCCTCAAAGCCACGGCCGACACACTCTGCTTTTCACTGCAGGATGCCCGCGTTAAAACGCCTCTCGGCTCCTGCCGGCGTCGAGATGGGGCTATTTCTTAAAAAATAATATTTGTTTAAAAAGTGCGTCTGCCGCGCCTCCAGGGCCAGGGGAGGCTCTTTGCGCCCGTGACGCTCCGGGAAACGGCCGGGGGGCGTTGTGGGCGGCCGGGGGCCGTTGGGGACGGTCGGGAGCCGTTGGGGCCGTTGGGGGCGGCCGGGAGCCGTTGGGGGGGGGCGCGGGAGGCGGCGCCGGCGGCGCGGCC